GTAATAAACTAATAAGTATAATAAAAACAACTTCCCTCGTTTATTATTAGTAATTATTAAATGTTAATTTTATTATAATCCAAAGTAAAAACTAATGTAAACTAAACATTGTTTATATTATAATTTTAATGTTTAGACTTTATTCAAAACCTACTTTAAAAATTAAATTCTCTGATTTTTTCAAGATTTATCACAAATAAATTTAAATTTGCTGACAAAAAAAATTAAAATATTCAATTAAAACAAATTTTGAAAAAAAATTTGATAAGTTGAAAGTTTTTTTTGGTTTGTTCTGAAAATAATTTAAACTCCATACATTTTCACTGACCTAAAAAAAATTACCTAACTTTTCCCTGATTTTTAACATTTTGCCAACCCTGATATATACCAACTAGATTAAGTTGACGAAAAGCCGAATTAGTTTTATAATTCACACTCTAATTCAACTACTAATTTGTAATTAGTAATTACTAGTTAGCTAGTCATCTTTTTTTCAAGTAACATTAAATTTGTTCAAGCAAGCCATTGCTACATCTTAAAATCCTATGACATTGCAAAATTAAAAAAAAAAACTTAATGATTTGTTATTGTGCGCTAAAATACTTATAATTGCAGTACATATATTTTACAATATGCAGTACATATAATAATTGTAGTAAAATGTTAAAAAATGTTTTTCAGCAATTAGTTTTATCCCTAGATAGCTAGATCTGCAAGATAGCACATTTTACCTATGAAAGTGCAAAAGCTTCGGCTTTGGCAGAGTGACTTCGGCCGAAGCTTCGGCTTCGGCAAAATCATTTCAAAGCTTCAGTACATCCTTACTAATTACAGGAGTTATTCATTTTTATATGCGCGTCTATTTATTTTTATATGAGTGTTTATTCATTCTTATGTGCCTATTTATTCATTTTTATATGCGTTTTTGAAAAAGCACAGCTTTTTCAAAACAAATTTTTCTTGTTTCCTGGTAAACGAGGTTAAAGATACTTGAGGCGAAGACTTTTTACATTCGATGATGGCGTAGGAACAGGAAGTGGGAAGGGGGGCGATAGCCTCTTTACCCTTAACTAAAACACAAGGGGGGGGGGGGGGGGCGGGTACTGCATTTAGCCCCACCCCTCCATTTTCTAAACAGTTTTAAAAAACTTTTATGATAGCAACAGCGGAATTATCATTTTCCAGTCTGCAATGACTCAATCACAATTATACATCACGATGGAAAAGTATATCCATAAAAACTGCTTAAGATACTATCGCATACTAACTATTTTTTAAATGAATGTGTGCTAGCAAAAGATGACTTATCACGTTAAAAAGATGATTAACCACGTTGCGTGTGATAAATAGTTGAATAAATAGACGATTTTTATCTATTTTGCTGTATCATATGAAATTGAGGAACTTTTTCCTTTTTAACATATGCTTTTAGCTTTCCCCGCCCCCGCCCCCCGCCCACTTTCGCGACCTTCCTACGCCACTGGTACAAACTACCCTCTTTATCTTACTTAATTTAGTATTAGGTCTTCGTTTAATTTTTTTTTTAAATTATTAATGGATTAAACTATTATTTATCTAGTTATTCGTTTATCAAGATTTAAATTTAATTATAATTGTTACTTATACACAAATATTTACTCTATGGATGAAAAAGAAAATAACAATGACAATCGAAAAACAAGGGAAAAGAGCTCATTGAATGGCTTTAGCATTTAGTTGAATGAAATGAATCTACAACAAGCATTTCCACTTTTGTTTAATTTATCTAAGCGCAAAGTTCAAAATCTTGTCGTTAAGTTGAACAGAGAAGAATTCGACGATATGAATGCATTCCAATCGTTTTCTGATAAAAAAAAAAAAAAAAAAAGAGGTAAAAGGCCTATAAACGCTCAAATAAAAAGTATTATTGAGTTATGTGTACAAGAAAAACATCATTGTACATAAGAAGCAATAAAAACCTTCTATTTCAAGAAAACTCCAACGCACAGATTTATCAAGAAAGCGTGTTGCGCATGTGCCAGAAGAACGAAAATCAACACGAGTTTTGATGCATTTGCAATAGAAATTTTCTGAATTTCAAATGAAAAACATATTTATTTAAATGAAACTGGATTTAATGTGCAAACCAACAGCGCATATGATTATTCACTAAGAGAAATTTTACCTTCGTCAGCAAATCGTGGCAAGAATGTTAGTTTGATTCGTGCTGTTTCAACAATGGGAGTGCTGGCTTATGAAGTAAATACTGGAGACTAGAATGCAGATTTATTTTGTACTTTCATTACTAAAATGTTGGTACCAGCAATTAGGAACGGAAGCGTCGGTACTTGTTATGGACAATTGTAGGTTCCATTGGAGTCTTTTTGTTAGGCAAACACTAGCCTCTCATGGCATAGCTATTAAGTATCTGCCAGCATACACGCGACAGCTTAATTCAATAAAAGAATTTTTTTCTTCTCTAAAGCATACTTAGAAACAGTGAGAAAGGACTCCAAATACGGATGGGAAAACTTAAACATATTATGGATATTACAGAGTTTAGTTTAATTCCATTTTAAAACCATATGCGTAGTTACATAAATCCAGCGCTGGCTCGGCAATCATTTAAAAAAAAATAACAGTGGCAACAACCTAATTTATATTTTAAACATATCTATATAAAAACATGAAAACCTATTTATTGTTTATATAAATTATATTAGAGTTTTTATGGGTAATTGACTCGCTAATGAACGCGCATATACGAACGAATAAATACGCCTATAAGGATGAATAAATACGCACATAAAAATAAATATTTTTTTTATTATTTTTTTTTTTTTATTTGTTATTAAAAAAAAAGAATACAATGCCGTGTTATATATAGATAAAATCTACATGACCGGGGCTAAAAGAAGACAATATTTGCCTTATCACTACACCCCGACGTGCTTTCATCAGCAAGCGTGTATAATCATTAAAATATAAGCATAAAATATCTTTGTACCATTTAAAAATTATATACAAATATATACAAATATGTTAAGATCAGTTACTAATCTATAATCAAAAGAAAATCGTAAAAAAAAAAAAAAAAAAAGCAATCACACTTAAAAACTAAAGATAAGTTAATAGGATAATTAAAGAAAATTTAAATTGGTTAGACTAGTTAATAAGATAGTTGTTAAAAAAGAAGATAAAAGAATCTTAAAAAGAATTTAATTCATTAACATCGTTAAGAAGTTTTTGTTTGAGTTTTTGTTTAAATAGAGAAAGTGAAGAACAATTTTTCAGCTGGTTATTTAATAAAGTGTTCCATAATTTAGGACCTTTGATGGCAATAGAAAATTTAGTAGCCAAATAGTGTATTTTAGGTTGCTCGTAATTGTAATTTTAAATCTTGTAGGGTACACGTGATTAATTTTATTGAAAAATGTATTAAAAATTATAGGAGTTAATTTATTATGTAGTTTGTACATAAATATAAGAATTTGATAAAGGTTTAACTGAAGAACATTGAGTATGTGATGATTTTTGAATAGTTCTTTAGAATGTGCGAATCGACTGCATTTGAAATAATCCTGACAGCGTGTTTTTGTCTACTTAGCGATTTTTTAACTTTACTTATATTAGAGCTGTACCATGCAATATTTGCATAGTTTATTTAACAATGTATGAGGGAGAAATATAAGATTTTTAAGCAGTTTTGGTTTAAGATTTGCTTAGCTTTGTATAGTATGCCAATATTTTTCGAAGTTTTATTTTCAATTGTTCTTATGTGTTCTCTCCATGTCATGTTTTCGTCAAGTATCACTCCTAAAAACTTTAATAATGACTCTCTAACTATTTTAGAGTTGCCAATGTAAAGATCAGGAAGTTTTAATGGAATATTTTCTTTACCGTGAAGTCTATGAAAAAAAGTATACTTATTTTTATTTAAATTTAAGGACAATTTGTTTGCCTTAAACCATAAATTTTTAAATCTAGCATTTGTATCAAACGCTAGATTTAAAAATTCCTTATTTACTGTTTTAAATAAGAGGTTGTTATCTCCATTAGAATAAAATAAATTTGTATCATCTGCAAATAAAACTGAGTTTAAAATGTTTGAAAACTTATGGAAATCGTTTACATAAATAAGAAATAAAAGTGGACCCAGAATTGAGCCTTGGGGAACACCCCAAGTAATAGTCAAGTATTCAGCATGCAAATACGCATGCAAGAATGAAGACGCGCATATATGAAAAAAAAACAATTTTTTTGAAGTTTAGTCACAAAATGTATGCTAAATGCAAAACAAGAAAAGTTACATTATACTGGATTTTACAAAACTACGTTGATTTTTAAAAACAAATCACAAAGATTCTTAATACGTAGAATTTTAAAAAAAGATGAACTAACGAAAACGTTTTTGTATTTTTTTTTTAAGTTAGAACTTTTAGAGCAAGAATGGAACATGTCAATGTAATCGCGCTCAAGTTGTTTTGTTTTTACACCAAAGTTTGGGGAACTACAAAACACTTTAATTCATTACTTAAATAAATTTCTCTCATTTTTCTCATTTCTCAATTTCTCTCGTAGTTTATTACCTAAGATAAACTAAATCTTATAATAAATAAAAATAAATATAATAAATAACTTTTAGTTTAAAAAATTTGATAAGCTTGATCAAAGTACCCGTGAACAACAAGATATATACCCACAAATATCTTTTTTTTCTTATATAAGCATATAGTTGCTGACTCGTGAAAGCACTAACTATTTTTTATATTGACAGATATAACTGGCATTCTTTAAAAAAAAAAGTTTTTTTTTTATTAATAACGTTTTTTTATTGCTTATACATTTTTAAAAAGTAAAAAAGCATTGCTGCTATAAAAACGTATAACTGCAAGTTTAGCTGCTGTACACATGCTTGTCTACAGAGACGATTCCCTAACATAACACCCCCAGACGAATCCCTATCACCTCCCTTAGAATTGTCCCTGCTTGTCTGTATAGCAGAGAAAAAACTAAACAACTCTTGATTAGTTTCTTTGAAAAGTCTTATATAGATCTTCACAATTATTTTACAAAAATAAAAATTGTTTTATTTATAAAATATAAAGTTCACTCATTCACTATTTCGTTCAAAATAACTGTTCTTACAAGTGCTTCCGTGACAACGTATGGATCACAATTTGATGCAGGTCTACGGTCTTCTAAGTAACCGTAGCCATCTTCCGCGCACTGTCGCGGTACTCGAATACTGCATCCACGATTTGCAACTCCATGAGAAAATTGATGTATTGTTGAGGTTTCGTGATGTCCAGTTAGACGTCTTTCGTTATCTTTACCCCCAGCTGGATCATAACATCGAATATGGTGTTTGTGATTCTTTGATAACCAATCAATAGCTTCATATATTTTTCTAATTCCTCCTTCTTTTCGCATTTCGAGGGTGCTGATTGTTAAAAAGTGTGATAATTTAATGTTATTATTTTTCTGTATGAATTTCTACAGAACTGGTACTTGTTTGTATTTTTTTATTACCTATTATATTTTTTTACTGTTTTAGGAAACAACAACAACAGCAATAATAACAACAACAGGAATAACAACAACAACAACAATAACAAAAACAAAAGCAAAAATGCAAAAACAAAAAACCTAAAATTTGCATGGCATCCAGCGCCGTTCCAATCTCCTGGAATGGGTTTTGGGTCAAGAGTAATAATAATCCCAAAATCTTCAGCCACTCTTTCAAGCAAATATCGAGCTACCCATAATTGATCTCCCATTTCAATTCCTTCACATGGTCCAACTTGGAATTCCCACTAAACAATAACAACAAAATGAAAGTTGTCTTATACGTAATTTAACCACATTTACTTTATGAATAATTAAAAAAATTCAAATTTTAAAAATATAATAAAAAGTCTTACAAACCTGCGATGCCATGACTTCAGCGTTCTCTCCAGCAATTTTCAATCCCGCGTAAAGACATGCTCTATAGTGAGCTTCCATCACTTCTCTTCCAAAAACTTTACCAGTTCCAACAGCGCAATAGTATGGCCCTTGAGGTGCTGGATATCCACCTTTCGGCCATCCGAGTGGTTTTCCATCGCGATCAAGTAAAGAGTATTCTTGCTCCAAGCCAAACCAAGGATGAAAATTCTAAATGAAGGATGAAAGTTCTATATGAAGGATGAAAATTCTAAATGAAGGATGAAAATTCTAAATGAAGGATGAAAATTCTAAATGGTGTAATTACATAGTACATAGACATATAACAACCTTTTGTTTAACAGTAATAAATTCATAAAAAAAATAGTTTTATGTTGGACACATTTTTCGATGTTGCTTAATTTCAGAAGGTTGGTTTTGTATGAAAATATTCTTTTTTTATTTTGATTTTTATAGATTTATATAGATTTTTTAGATAAATATAGATTCTATAGACTTTTGAAACAATTTAACCAGTTTTTTTGCCGCATAGCGTTGCAAAAAGTTATTTTAATTTTAAAAATAAAATAAAAAAATTAATTTCAACAGTTGATACCTTCACAGATTCCATTGCAGCTTTACATGACTTTCTTTTGTTAGATTCTGTTGGCTTGTGATCATAAGTATAAGTTTCGCAGAGTACAAGCTTATGCTTACCTTCTCTAAAAGGGTCGGAAAAAATAGCCACTGGGTGCAAATAAACATCGCTATTAGTCCCGGTTGCTTGACCTGTTGACGAACCATCAAAGTTCCAAATTGGGAGCTGATCAGGTGTTTCAGGTTCATAATCAAGGGTTTTTGTTTTTGATCGCAATGTTTTACCTGAACCATCAATCCATATGTAGTTTGCTTGAATTTTACCTTTTGTATCAAGGTTCATATATTTATTTAATATGCTCTGGTTTAGACCCTTGTAACTTTCCATTTTAACTGAAAAGATATTATATTAGATAATTCTTATGCAGAGAATTTTTAAGCAGAATTTATATATATATATATATATATATATATATATATATATATATATATATATATATATATATATATATATATATATATATATACATATATATATATATATATACATATATATATATATACATATATATATATATATATATATATATATATATATATATATATATATATATATATATATATATATATATATATATATATATATACATATATATATATATATATATATATACATATATATATATATATATATATATATATATATATATATATATATATATATATATATATATATATATATATATATATATATAATATATATATATATATATATATATATATATATATATATATATATATATATATATATATATATAAATGAAAATTCACATGTATTTAGCTCAAATAAATGACTTTCATTTTAAAAAGTACTTTATAAAATTTAGAAAAATGGTTTACAATATAAAGGTCATTTTAAATGTTGAAAAATTCACATTAAATAAAGTTAATTAAATTTTTATTCTAAGCATATTTTGTTTTCATAATAGCGATTTAGGGGGTTTTATTAATACTTTATTTACATAAAAATATTTTTACGAAGCTTCTCGATATAGAACTTCCTTTACAGCAAATAACCAACTAAATGAAAACATCAGATTTAAGCGTAAAAACATTTTAAAAATAACTGCTAAAATAAAAATAAATATTTTTATTTTAGTGTTTTTATTATAGAAATAAATATTTGAAATATTGCACTATTTTATATTCTGCCCATTTCAAAAACTTTGATGATTGTTTACAGTGTAGTTCACGCTTTGTTTAATAATTTACTACTCTTTCGAATAATGCTGCTTACCACTAATTTAAAAAATAAAAAAAACTTATTAGACAGTAAATGTATCTTTTAAATAGTTAATGCACATCCGTTCATATTATCTTAATAATATTACCTAAAAATGAGCAGTTAACTGTTTGCAAATTACACTAATAATACCAATCTTCAATTATATTCCGACTAAAATCACGCTGAAAAACATAAGTTGAAATAAAGTCCATAACACGTAATAAATCTAAATTAGTAATATTATATTAGTAATATAATTAGTTCAAAATATAAAGTAATAAAATTGAATAAAAGAAATTTTTCTCCTCGAGCTATTTCAACACTTTAATTACACAGGCCAACAAAATTTTACTTTTTTACTTTTTGTATATAATATGTTTTTCTTATAATATTCCTCATCCTGATTTCAAATATGCAATTCTTTTTTTTTTTTTAATGACGTCAAGTTTCAAAAATATTAGAGTTCAAATTCAAAATATTTGGAGTAAAATCCCTAATATTGTCAAAACTTCTTCAAAGGTTAACCTGGGTATCAAAAGAAGCGTTTTTATTTAGAGATTTTAAAAAACATAAACCTTTAAAATTTATCAACAAAAAAATAATGTAAAAAAACGCTAAATAGAATATTCAAGTAATTTTAAAAAAATGTGTTTCACCAATAAAATAAAAAACATTAATTTTAATTACAAAAAAATATTGTTTTCAAAATATTTGTAAACAAACGCTTTATTTGAGACCCAGGTTGACATACATTTTAAAGGGGTTTTTTTTTGACAATATTAGGGATATTACCCTAAATATTTGGGATTTGAATCCTAATATATTTAACTGTTATAAAGGTGCCCCAGGAAGCACCGCAGAAATGCATTTAACCATGAGTTCACACCTCCTTCCTTAACGTGACGTGAAATATGTCAAAAGCTCGTTTCGAATCTGGTTCTCCTGCTAACAAAGCAAGCGCTCTACCCACTGCGCCACGGGCGCACAATATCTTTAAAGCCTGACGTGATAGAAGAAAAAGGATTGCATATTTGAAATCAGATTGAGGAATACTATAAAAAAAACATATTGTATGGAAAAAAAGTGAAAAAGTTTTACTTCGTTGACCTGTGTTATCTTTTTTAGTTTTGATTAACATAAACATTTTGTCTTTTGTTTGTCAAGTAAAGATTTTAGTTAAATTATTAAGATTTGTGGAAATATATTTTAGGTTGCCTAAATTTTATTCTATAAAAGCCTAAACATTAACTGAAAAAATAGATATGGTCACTTTTCATTTATACTTTTTTATACTATAGAAAAAGTTATATTATATTAAGAGAGTCTTGTTTAATTTATCAAATCTAAAACAAAAATATTTTGAAAGTAGATTGCTTTTGAATTTCAAGTTAAAGTTAAAAAGTTTATTTAAAAATATAATAATTATTTTAAAACTTTCAGATCTAGTATCCTACCCCCCCCCTCCCACACACACACAAACATATACATACCCTCCCCCAACCCTAAAATCGCCTTTGAGTAGTTTGTTTTTTTAACTTTAGACGTAGTTTTTAACAAAATCTTTTAGAAAACAAATGAATATTTAAGTATTTATTATTGTTATCTATCGCTTAGGTACAATAATGTAGTTAAACATTTTGACCGAAACCATCTATTTAAAAATCTCTTAACTTAAAGCATGAATTAAAAATATTTTGTGTTTTTAAATATTTATTTTCTTGTAAATTGTTAGTTTTAACAGGGGAGGGTTGTGGTGCTAATTATAGAATTATTTTACGTAGCGTAAGTCATTATGAGGATAATTAGCGGGCAAACATTTCAACGAAATAAAATTTCCTCACAACGCAACTTCTTATGCGATTAATATTCAGACAAACTGTTTTTTGATGTCACCGAAACACTACACTATTGTTTAGTGATCTATATAATTTTTTTTTATTTTGTTATTTATTATACATTTTGATTAAAAAAATATCTTAATCTTTATAAAGCTGTTATAAATGTATTTTTAAGTGTTTAAATTTTAAAAATGTCTCATGTTTTCGTTTAAACCTCCTGATTTTTAAAATATTCCGTGAACTTCCGAAGATTTTCATTTTTAGATATTACTACTTGTTTTATCACAGTAATTCCTATGAACTAAAATACACACAGCTGCGCATGATTTGATTATTAGATAAATAAAAGTGCTCTAAAACTATGATGATGTCACAGATATGAAATGACATGTCTCAGCTGACGATTATAATTTTCTTATGCTGTATAAATACTTTGATATATTATTTATCAAATGTTAAATTAGGAGTCAAAAGACGTTTTATTTATAATTTTATTTATTACTAACTATTAATCGAAAGAACTGAAAAAAACCCACACTTTTACAGACAAAATCAGGCGTCACAAAAAACTGACGTCAAAAATTTTGCTTGACATCATATAAAACAACTATGAATGTAAAGAGAAAAATGTAAATAATTTGATCTATTTTTTTTCTTTAATTTTAATTTGAGTTTAATAATTGTAATTATTTTAAATGTTATTTTACGTTTTTTATAAGAAAATTTGTGTAACTGGTTTTATATTAAAAAAAAATATTAAAGTTTCAACATAGTAAAAAAAATATTCTGATATATTTTATTGGGAAATTCCTATCAACGATGACAAGTAGCTAAAAAGAGTGAAGTTCTGAGACTCGATAATCACAACTCCAATTAAATCAATAAATAAATTTTAAAATATAATAATACTGCTTTACTAAGTTCTGATTTTTCCGTTGAATAAAAATTATTTTGTGCATATATATCCAATAAAGGAACGGTTAGAGCAAAATGGAGAATTTTGATATGTCTTACCACAAACACCCTGTTTTTTTTTTCCGCGTAAATTCGAAAAATGTATTTTATGATAAAAATGGTTGTCTATTGTATACAGTATCTACACATATATATCAACAAATGCGACATTAGACGCAGACCGACGACGTCTTAATAAAATAATGATCTGCGGGAGTTCAGTACTTACATTAAGTATTTTAGGTTGGACAGAATAACATTGGTTGGATACAATAGTATATATATAGATAAAGAAATTTTTATGGTAAATAAAAATAACTCTTGTTTTAGTTGTTGTATTTTTTTTTCCGGGGTTACGTGCGACTTGTTTGACGTTGAAATAAGTTTTATATACAGATTATTAGAATAAAACGAACGAGTTTTTTATAAAGATTATATGGATAACACTGTGACGAAAATAAAAATATACTGACGTTTTAACATTCTTTGATCTTTTCTTTGCTGTTAATTCGCGTTAAAGAAAGGATAAGACTTTCAACATTCTGTTGATCTGCGCTCTATTGCTAATTGGCGTTTTCAAAACTTTTAAAAGCGGATAAGACTGTGACGTTGCAATATGAGTCGAAACCGTGAAAAAAATATAGCAAAAACATTTGCTAAAAGCATAATCTTTTTGTACTAAAAAGTAGAAAATAAACTTTTTAATAGTTCCATAAACTAAAGGTTGACAAGTATTTTCTAAATAAACCTTAGGCAGACCTGTCAATCTTTAGTCTACAGAACTATTAAGTTTAAATTAAAAAGTTTATTTTCTACTTTTTAGTACAAAAATATGTTTTTAGCAAATATTTTTGCTATATTTTATTTTTTTAATTTTTAGTCTTTACAGAGAATTACAATATTTATCGATGCATTTGTAATTAAGTCGAGCTCTTTATCCTGAAGAAACGGAGTACTTGCTGATTAAAGAAGCGGAATATTTTTCTTTTAAAATATAAACATTTTTTATATAAAAATAACATCAAGTACAAATATTTCATTTGCATTGCAAACCGCGTCCTCCCACAAATGTAGTATATTTTTATATTAATGTTAAACAAAGTTACATAACAAACAAAAGTAACATAACTTTGTAAGTTACTTTTTCAATTTTATTAAAAAAAAAAATTAAAAAAAAAATATATATTAAAAAAAAGATTTAAAATGAAATACAAACCCACAAGCGATCTTAGCTGGTTTTAAAAAAGAAAAAATTTAATTTTCAAGGAGGAGTAAAATTATTTAAAAAAATTAGTAACCCACAAGCAATAATAGCTTCTCCTAAAAATGAAAAGATTTGTTACTTAATAAATAGTTCTATTCCAAGCAAACCGGCAAGCAATTTTCTAGCAAATTGCCCTTTTAAATAGATTACTATTTTTAGTAAATTACCATTTTAAACAGAATACCATTTCTTAACAAATTACAATTTTTTTAGCAGATTACCATTTTAGACAGACTACCATTTTAAGCAGATAGCGAATCTGTCGGAAAAGAGCCCTGTATCGCAACTGCTGTTGAAACTCACTCAAACCATCATGAGTTCAATATGGAACAGCAGTTGTCACCACATGTTCAGCAACATAAAAATCGACCCAGTGGCAGTGATCAGGGTAATAATCAGGAACATCAGAATTATTATTACTTTAAAATATAATTATCATGTCCGTAGAAACACTGCGGACAATTTCTGTCAATACTTTTGTATTAATAACATTTTTTTCCAAGTAGAGAGTATTGCTTGTGGGTTACTAATTTTTTTAAATAGTTTTACTCTTTATTGAAAATTAAATTTTTTCTTTTTTAAAACCAGCTAAGATCGCTTGTGGGTTTGTATTTCATTTTAAATCTTTTTTTTAATGGAAATTTGAAACTAAACATATGAGCTAAAATAGTATATCTTAGTAAAGATTTTCTCTTCTCTGCTGTTTTTCTTTTGTACAACATTAGTTATTATTATATATGATTAGAAAATCACTGCCAGCTCTTATCTTATGAAATATTATTTTAACATTAAAGTGTTATCTATAGAGTTTGTAGAGTAAATTTAGTGTAACCGTCCTGTAATTTTTTATTTGTTTTAATAAAAATCTTGTATACTTTTGTATATTTTATATATTATAAAAAAAAACATTTTTGTAAACATACAATATAATATATTCAGAAAAACATTTGTAAAACTATTATATTGTAAAACAATAATTTTATGTTACGGTTTTACTATATATACCTGAGATAGTAAAATTTTATAAAATTGTAAATAATTTATTGTTTTATAATTAAAAAAAAAAAAAAAAGTTTAGAAGCAGTTTAGAAGCAAATTTCTATACAAAAGCTTACTTTTTATGT